CCCTTACTGAACGCGGTCCCAGTTGGTGAATCTTAAAAATGGCTTAATCAGACTAGGCTTGCTCAGATATCAATATTATTTGAATTTGCTGTGAAACTTGCAGGTTCCTAGGTGATAAGTGCAACCATTTATATTTATAAACAAATCTTTAGGACACCAGAGTAAAACAGCCCGATACTTTTATTTTGATTTGAAACTATTAGCCATAAAGCAGAGCGTATGGATGGCTCTTCTTGGCTTTTGATGGCAGTATGCAATTTGTATTGTATGTGTCTTTTAATATATATGTATATATATATGAACTCAGTCTGTCCAAAGTATATGTTATACTTGTTTTTAGATTATGGTGCAACTGACTATATTGATATATTATTTATTGAGTGATGATCACCGTCTTACTGGTGATAAATCTTGCATATTATACAGGAGTGCAATGTATATTCCTTTAGATTGCTGAGGCTTGATTGCTGTGATAACAAAAAAAAAAAAAAAGCCCTGAAATGTATTTATGAAAGGCCCCAACATACAGAGAGTCAGTACTTTATGGGAATACTGTTGTGCTTGCCTGGGGCAAGTAAAATAAAGCCGTAGGCAGATAATTATGTAATTTTCCAAAATGGGAAACTATTGGAAAGAGAGACTACCTTTGCTGTATTTAATGTTTCACTTACCTAACAGATATTTACTGTCACTGCAGTGTTTATAGTAAGGGCCTGAGCAAGTCGAGTTTGAATTACCCATTGGGGAGTAAGCAACTTCCAAATTATTACATGTCTGACGAGTATTTCGGTCAGGGTTTAAATTACTCCATCTAAGGAATCAGTATTACGGAAAACTGTGTGTTTCCAAGCAACAGAGTTAAGATACCTGTTAAGTATAAAGAGTAGCCAAAGCTTTTGGTAGCCAACTCAGACAGATACAGACCTATTCCAGGAGGCAAACGTCCTAAGGATGAAAGTTGTGTAAACCCAATCAATCAGGGAATCGTGATCGCTGTCTAACCCCAGTACTTCTCAAGGAATTGGTCTCCGATGCCGTTTGAAACCAGCAGCGTTGGGGGCCGAGAGGGAAGGGTTGGCTGTACGGTGAGCGAATTCCTGTTTCAACAGGAGCTCTGGGCTTCGGCGGAGCAGCCGTAGCTCTTTGCTCTCTGCCAGTCTCAGCTGAGTTTCAGTGGAATACACTATAGTGAGCAATTGGAAATGCTGCCTTCCAGCATAGAATTTATATAGGCTATCTGTATGTAAACGCTTACCTGTTTTAATTTCATCTGGAAACTTAATGGGAACGTATCCGTTCCTGTTGGAACTCTCCACGTTTGCTAACGGAGCTGATACAGGCAAATTGGATTGCAGTGTTCCCTGTCTTCAGTTTTTGTATGCAACCCTAGGAATTGATGCAGTCGGGTGCACAGTTACTTCTGCAGCGGTTGGCGTCGGCTGCGCTGGCATTATACATCCGAACACTCAACTCTAAGGACCAGGCATGACTTTTGCAAGCACAGTTCCTGACATTTGTATCTGGTCCCCCTTTTAAATTGTTTTAAGAAATTTTGTATATGGAGGATAAAGTGCTTATATATTTATTAAAAATCCTTTATCTTATTTGAAATTATTATTTGGTGAAGAAGGGTTTTCTTTTGGGGGAGGGTTTGCGGGAGGGGGAAGGTAACTTTTAAGCTGTCACTTATAAATGAAGCCCTTATTAATCATACAGAAAGGTACTGTTAGTAACTAATGGGATGTCTCTGTTTTATGCTTTGTACATGACAAGTCCATGTGTTACATTTTGTTTCTATCAAAATATTTAGGCATCTGTCTTTCAACCAAAACCTAAAAAAAAAAAACAAACTGTGATTTTATTTGTTGCAATACATTTGAAATTTCAAAGGGTACTTTGGGGCTCAAAATTAGGATTTCTAAGTCAGTATGTGCATTTCACGTAATAAAGCTGTTAATGGTGAGCAAAGTATTATATACTAACTAGATTTTTTCCACATCTGTATAGTATATTCTATGTATTTTGTGGTATTGAGATTATAGAAAGTTTAGTGTCTGAAACATGCGTTTAATGTGTATTTTTAAACAAATTTATGGCAATTAAAATATTTGGAGAAAAGGGTATCACATTTCAATTTGTAAAGATCTTTTTAACTACTGTGTCATTAAAATGCTTTGTACAATGCAAAACTGTAACTGGAGAAACTAAGTTTAATAAATATCAAATAGATTTTCTGTATTAAACTTCATAAACACTGTGTTCGTGTCTGTTGGACAGGCTGTCTCCTCCCCAGTATTGCATTTTAAAGCAGTTTTCATCTTTGTTTTAATGCTGTCTGTATAACAAAGGAAACTGACATTCAGTATTTGTGTCCCAGACCTGTTGATATTCGTCTAATCAAAAGTGGCTTCGTTTCTCTCAGCCCTCTGAGTTAAGATGGATCTGATTTTAATAAATTTATTTTGAAATAAGAAGATCCTTCAGTGGAAGAGGTCAGTTTAGGACTTACTTGGGCAATTTTGATTAGAAGTAATTAAAAGTAAATACATTTTCTAGTTATCAGCAGATATATTTGGCGTATTGAATCTGCTAGCAGTATTATTATCAGTTTGTTTGTTCCCTCTTTCCGACAGGCCTTTATTTGAAGTACTGATAAGAGTTCAGCTGTTGAGACTGAAATGAGATGGAAGCGTGATCTACTTTAAGCACTTGCCAGGTTGAAGGATAAATGTCTAAAGTCCAGTTTGAAATAAGCATTCCTACTTGAAATGCCTGATGTGCACTCACCATACACTTTGCTCACAGGATACAAGGAAAAACCCAGGTTGTTTACTGAATATAAACTTTTAATCCACACCTTAAAAAAATATATATTAACAGTTATAAAAAAACAAAACAAACGTGAGATGCAGGGCCCTTTTATTGAGCTTGGCCAGAGTCATCCTCAGGCGTATGCTGCAGAGGTACAGCCTCGGTTACTGAATGCTGTCCAGCTCTTTGAAGTCCTTTTACCAGTTCTTATGGCAGAAATGTCGAATATGCTTGTTGCTGATTCACTGTCCTAGCTTTTGAACGGTCAATAAATATTTCACAAGTAGAGCGGAGCATTGCTAGCAGTAACAGTGATGGGTGTTCTTCATTATGACAGGTCACTCGGAGGCGGATCTCAGGAAGCAGCGGTTTTTCCTGGAAAACAAACCACCGTCAGGCACTGACAGCTGTGTAGGGCTCCAGCAGGTCTGTCTGTCCTTAGCAGGGCTCAGCTATTACACCCGTGCTTGTATTCAGCTTAACGTGACTCAGTTTGTCTCCATTCATCTTATATCCTTTGCTTTGCATGGTAACTCCAAAGTACGTATTACCCAGGGCTATATGGTCAGGCTCTAGTGCAAAAAATACACACCACAAAAATGCCTTCCTGTCTATTCATCTTCCTGTAGCTGCTGTTACAGTTCATCCACGTTAATTGTTAAAACCAAATAGTGCATTTCAGGTGCATGCAGAGTAGGAACCCGACTGTCATTTCCTGTAGTATCTGTGTGTAGATGGATCTATTCTACCCATTTTCCATTTGCTTTCTGGTGTAAGTACAGTAAGTGCCACACAAAATCAGCTTTCAAGCACTAGGCAGTGATTTTAACTGATCACTTTTTATATGTAGTTGGGTAGCTTATGTTTGCTTTAGTATTTTAGCTTTTAAACAGTGAGCTTCAGTAATCACTTTAAAGTGCTTACCATTTTAAGGATGGATTATTATTTAAGGCTTCTAAGTGGCTACCTAAAGCTGTCCGGGACTCTATGGTTGGTTGCCTTTTTTTTTTTTTTTTGAAAAGATGGTTATTCTGGGTTGCAATGAAACTACCAAGGCCTATCATCAAGGGCATTTGGACTCTGTTCTGTTTGTACTGCTTACAAAAAAGGTCTAAATCTATTGCTCCATCCATCCCCCTCCTATCTTTTTTTTTATGCCCAGAATTAATCCCATGTCTTATTTGAATGAGAATAACCAGGAACTTCCTCTCCATGATATAATACCAAGTATTCCTGAGCCTTTCTATTAATTAGGGTTAGTTACCTGCATAGCATTGTAATACACTCGCTGTTATCCCTGCATGAGGCTCCGATGGGTCTCAGTGAGACTCCTCTCCAGAACGGTGTCATCCGCCTTTGTCTTTTTAGGTGGGGCTGTGGCTGGTGCAGGGAAGCACAGTGCATCTGAAACAGATTGTGGCACAGCTGTCAGGAGCACGCAGCAGCTGTAGGCAGGTGGTCATTTGGATGCTGTGGTCAATCATATCAATTTTAAGTGAAAGACTGTAAATCTTTCTTGTTTTCGGATCATAGAGCGCTCTGTTAAAGTACAATTGCTTATATCCTAACCCTAAAGAAATAATTATAAAAATCAACATTTTTAATTGTCTTGAGAGGGAAGGCAGAATTATTTGCTAAATTACATCTCAGAGCAACCCAGTATTCCCCCTAAGCAGTTAGTTACTTCTTCAGGATGTTGAATCTGCTAAAAGAGCTCTGCTCTTACTTCTGGCTCTGGCAGTGAGTGTTATTTGTGTAGCTCCTAACACTTTCATTCACTGCCTGGCTGTTTGCGCTAGCATTTTAAATAGTTCTCTCTGCTTACCTGGCTGAGCAGCAGCGAGCAGAATAAGAAGATTGCCATGACTTTCAAACAGTGCATCTTCACAGTACGGGCTGCTGCTTCGGCTGGAGGAGCAGCTGTGGGCGGAGGAGGTTGGAAGAGCCCTGAGTAGAACTTGCCAAGCTTCAGCCAGATTTTTATAGACTTCATTCTCTTATCATTGCATCAGCTGTCAGTCATTACAGGAACAAAGTTCATTTCAGAGCAAGAGGGAATTACAAAGTTAGCATCTACCGAAGCGATCTGGTTCAAGGCCTGTCTATCTAGCTAATGATTTACTCTCCTTCCACTTGTACTTTGTCTGGTCAGCTTACCAGATTTGCCAACTGTTCCTTTTTTTAAAACCTAACACGTTACCAGAACTCCATCCTGCACTTGCAAGCAAAAGGGTGGGTGGCCCAAAGTAGCGTGGTAAAGATCAAAAGCCTTATTATAACAACCTTATTTAACTCCTCTGACATTCACAGTATGCGCAGCTCTGGGTTTGCCAGCTGGCAGGTAAGTATTGTCCTACCGAGTGTATTTGGAGCAGCAAAAGGTACTTTTGGTTCTGCTTCTCGTTCTTGGTACATGAAAGAATCATAAGCAAGTTACTTCTAACCTGTCTTTCCATGAACGTCGTGCTTAAAAAGTGGATGCAGTACTTTCCATGTGGGTTTTGCAGTGTAAAAATGGTGTAATTCCTGATAAATCTTAGACCTCTTCTTTCAAGGATCCCAGTCTGTTAAAGATAAGCTAGGCAGCTAACCCTAAAAGCAGGAGGTGGCTGTCAGGACTTTCTGGAGTTGAGTTGCTCCACGTAGCAAGACCGTGGTTTCTTTAGACGAGCCGTCTCTGCTGTGGTCTGCCTCTATCTTACAGCATAACTCGGGAGTGGTCTTCCAGAAGCTGCCAACAACAGCTCCCACCGATGGGGACAGATTAGCGTTAATTAGAGGCACTCTTACACTTTTCTGTGGTGAAATGAGGAGAGATTGCAGCAGCCTGGAGGAAATGTTTCAAAGGAACTACACGCTACCTTTCATCTTGCCCAAAGTCTCCGTTCAGACACACGCTTCTCCCACTTGGTCTCCCGCTGGGAAGTGGGAGAGGTGTTTCTAAGATCACTACTCTGTCGCTGCACCTTGCCAGTCCTCCTCCTCCTCCTCGTCTCTGATATTTTATGCATCTGGCTCCCAAATCTGTCCGCATGTTCTGTATCTGTCAAGGAAATGGTTTATGGGCTTGCAGAACAACACTACCAGCTCAGCCATGGCAAGCACTGCGTGGAGGCTGGGAGGCACCCTGCTTTGAAAGTTACTTCAAGTGGGAAGATAGCGTATAAAATAATGAGTTGTTTTAGCTAAATTATAAATCTAAATATGAAAGCAACAGACTACATATTCTGTGATTGCTTAACGTGCACGTATAAGTGCCAGCGTGGAAGGCAAGTTACTGAGATTAAGATAATGCCTGCCATGTTGTCAGGTTCCTGCCTACGGATGATTACCCCTTAGCCCAAATTTCACTGGGATTAAATAAAATCTCTTTGCAGCATATCACCTGCAAGCTATAATTGGAAGATTTATTCCTTTCCTGGTGCTCCTTACTGTTTCCCTGTTTGTCTTGCTTCCTTGTGGGAAGGAACCAAGCCCCTTCTTCAATTCACCTTCCTTGGGTTCACACAGGGAAGGAAATGAGACAGTAAATTATTGCAGATCAAATAACAGAACTGGAATGTTTCTTTTACATCTGGCTGTGAATTTCTCAATTGTTTTTCCCGTTAAGTCCTTTCCTTCCATGCATGTGAGTTCTAATTTCTGCTGTCTCTCTAGGCACTGTAGTAGAACAGAGACAAGAAAAGAAACAGTGGTAGTCTTGGCTGCGTATTTGGAGCACAGGATGTGAAATGACAGCTCAGCTCTGACAGCCGTGTCCTCAGTAAGTCATTGTTCCTCAGCTTTTTTGGCTAGCTAAGATTAGTACTGTGTGATGATGCACCAAAACTGTTGTGTGTCCTAGGTTACTAACAGTGTCAGCTTGTAGTTGCAGATGCCTTTGAAGCAGCAATCTTTATTCTGTGCAAGAAAAGAAAAAAAAATTGGACTGCTTGTTTCCATGTATGCAAATCCAGTGCAGTCCACTTTCTACTGCTGGCTAGTCAGGAGCCACAGCAAAAATGTTGGTTTAAACAACACCAAAAAAAAAAAACAAAACATTGCTGCATTGCCACTCCTAATATTTAGCAAAGGGACAATAGAAATAATTGGCTGATTAAGATGGTAGCCCGCTGTCTCCTATTTGCCAGTAGGAAGCCACAGCCCCCTTGAACATTTAGCAGAGGGAGAACAGAAACAAATGAGATTGGGAAACTTTCAAACACTGAGCCCAACGCCCCGATGCCACGCAGCGGGCAGGAGCCATCGCTCAGGGCTGGTGCTGGAGCCCCGCAGGCCGAGGCCACCTCGGGGGGGTTGCGACAGGCGCTGCGGCCGTGGGAGCAGGCAGGGAGCAGCCCCCATCCCGGGGCTGCCCGCGGTGCTCGCAGGGCTGCAGCGCCGTGGGTAAACTCGGCGGCAGGGGCTGAACGTGCCGCGGTGTTTACAGGAGTCTGGCAGCCGGCGAGGCCAGAGGTCAGCTGTCTGTGAACGGGGCAGAGACCTCATCGCAGAGGCTGCGAGGAGCGGCTCAGCCTCTATGGTTCCGGAGAGGGATTGAGGAAGTACTGAGGCTGTACCAAGCCTACCCGTCCTGTTATTTAGGCTACAAGCGGCTGCCGGTGCTCTTTGGGGCCAAGTAGGATGCAAATAAGAGCTGTGAGCAGAGCCTGCCTCGGGACATCTTTGCCACCTCCCAGCTGCAGCCAGTTCAATGCTCCCGTCTTGCTCAGGCTGCCTACACAGCACCGGTGAGCCAAAGCAGCTTGAAGCACGGGCTGCTTGCGGTGCAGCGGGAGCACTGGTACTACTCCCGGTCACGGCAGCCTCTGACTGTGCTCAAGTACAAAACCATAAAGCATTTGACTGCATGATTTGCATGCCCCCAGCTTCCTGAAGTGAGGCCGAGCATCTTTGTATTCCCAGACGGCTCAGTCCTGAGCCTGCAGAGCACCTACCCCAGGAGAACGTCACTCTCCCTCTGCAGATAAGATAAATGCTCAGTACCAGCTACGGGACTAGCACAACAGGGAGATAAATGAGTTACTTTGCTTGCAGCACGAGCTTGAGACAATCAGCTCAAGACTAAGGGAAAAAAAAGATAAAGAACTGAGCCAAACAGTCTGGCCTGGGGAGAGCAAAGGGTGTCACACTTAATGCTAGGGGGTGAATTTCCTAGGCACAGATTTAAAAGCAAACAGTAGCAATAAAGCTCCTGAGATCACCCTCAGGTGTCAAAATAATCTTTTTTTTCTCCTTGTAGTTCCCAAGAAGAAGCTTCTAATTTGGCCCGTTAACACTAAGCAGCCAGCAGAATGGCAGTTTATCGTGCGATTAACGTTAATAAAGATGATAACCAGGTAGGTGTATGTGGGGCAGAGTCCACGCTCAGCTCCGAGCCATCAGCCAGCTCATGCAGTTTTGGGCAGTATCAGATGGGCTGTTTGTTTTCTCATGGGTATCAAGGCTGGAACGTATTCTATTTCAAGCAAAAAGTGGCTGGTGAGGGAAAGATCAAGGGATCAAAGAGCTTACCCCGAGCTGTCATTTCTAACCAAGGAGAGCTGAACACAGCCCTTGCTACACTAACTAGACTGGGAAGTGTCTCAAAGAAACAGCAGGCAAAGAGGCTGGAAAGTAAAGTAAAAAGTAAATTAAAAATTAAAAAGGAAAAAGTAAAAAGGAAAGGAAAAAGTAAAAAGTAAAATAAAGTAGTTTGAGCACAGGGTACTTTAACCTGATAATCCCTTTGTACAGAGTGAACCAGAGACATTTCATACAACTCATCTCAACACGCAAAGCCACGGGCTTCACACAGTCATGAGACAAAGTTAACGTTTATTAGACAGCACTTTATCTCCCCGTCATCCCAGTCATATGAACTCGCTTAGCAACAGGACGCCGATAACGCGGCGCTAACATCTCCGCTGACATCTCCTCGTGGCGCTGGCTACTTGTCGTTCTCGTAGTCGGCAGGGTTCTTCCTCTTCAGCCTCTCGAACTCCTGCATGCCCCAGGAGTACAGGAGGTAGGCGCCCACGAAGGCTGCAAAGAGAGGAGAGTGCTGAGGATGGCGAGGGGGGAGGCAAAGCTGCGTGAGGCTGGCTCACAAGACACCTGGTACAAACCCTCCCTGTGCCCCCATCCTTCCCCAGTCCCCCTTGGCCTTCCCCTTTCCCCTCTAGCCTCCCCCAGTCCTTCCCATTCCCCCCTAGCCTCCCCCAGTCCCTCCCATTCCTCCCCCCCCGACTCCCCCAGTCCCCCTCAGCCTGCTCCAGTCCCCCTATTCCCTCCCAGCCTCTCCCATTCTCCCTTAGCCTCCCCCCTCCAGTCCCTACAGCCTCCCCCAGGCCCTCTCATTCCCCCCCAGCTTCTCCTGCCCTCCCCCAGCCCCCCCAATTCCCCTCCCAGCCTCCCTCTTAGTCTCCCCCACCCCCTCCCCTTCACCTCCAGCCCCTCCAATTCCCCCCCCATCCTCCCCCTGTCCCCTTAACCCCCCTGAACCTCCCCCACCCTCTCCCCTTCCCCCCCAGCCTCCCCCATTCCCCCCCAATTCCCCTCCCAACCTCCCCCATTTCCCCTGATCCCTTCAGCCCCCCCCCCCATTCCCTACAACCTCCCCCGACCCCCCCAATCCCTCCCATTCCCCCCACAGCCTCCCCCTGTCCCCTTAATCCCCCTGAGGCCCCCCCATCCCCCCTCAACCCCCCTCAGGCCTCCCCCTCACCCCGCCCCCCCCCATACTCACGGGGCACCACCTTGAAGACCTGCGAACTGAAACGCCGCCACACGTTGGGCAGCCCGTGCGACAGCACGTTGGGGAAGGCTCGCTGCTCGAAGGGCGACAGGCTGTAGGTGACGACGTGCCGCACCCGAGCCAGGTTCCCGAAGTGCCGGCCCATGGCGGTGTCACCTTGGAGACCGCCTCTGCCGCCGCGCGGCCCGGAAGCGGAAGCGGCATCGGAGATGCCGCTTCCGCTTCCGGGCCGCGCGGCGGCTGAGCGGGAGGAGCCCCCTCAAGGGGGTGTCGGTGCTACCCCAAAATGTCCGGGTGGAGTTAAAAAAAGACAAAGTAAAAAAAAGTTAAAAAAAAAAAAAGAAAAAAAAAAAGTAAAACAGACAAAAAGTAAAAAAAAAAAAAGTAAAGTAAGAAAGACAAAGTAAAAAAGTAAAAAAAAATAAAAAAGTAAAATAAAAAGTAAAGTAAGAAAAAGTAAAAAAAAGTAAAAAAAAAAAAGTAAAAAAAAAAGTAAAATAAAAAAAAAGTAAAGTAAGAAAGACAAAAGTAAAGTAAAAAAAAAAGTAGGAAAGACAAAGTAAAAAAAGTAAAAAAAAAAGTAAAGAAAGACAAAGTAAAAAAAGTAAAAAAAAGTAAAAAAAAAAGTAAGACAGACAAAAAGTAAAAAAAAAAAGTAAGAAAAAGTAAAAAAAAAGTAAAAAAAAAAAGTAAAAATAAAAAAAAGTAAAGCAAGAAAAAGTAAAAAAAGTAAAAAAAAAAAAGTAAAAGTTAAAAAAAAAGTTTAAAAAGTTAAAAAAAGACAAAGTAAAAAAAGTAAAAAAAAAGTAAAGACAGACAAAATGTAAAGTAAGAAAGACAAAGTAAAAAAAAGTAAAAAAAGTAAAAAAAAAAATGTAAGACAGACAAAAAGTAAAGTAAAAAAAAAGTAAAGTAAGAAAGACAAAGTAAAAAAAAGTTAAAAAAAAGAGTAAAGTAAGACAGACAAAGTAAAAAAAAAGTAAGAAAGACAAAGTAAAAAAAGTAAAATAAAAAAGTTTAAAAAAAAGTTTAAAAAAAAGTTAAAAAAAAAGACAAAGGTAAAAAACCACCGAGTGATGTTGTCACAATGAAAACGCGAAGTGACATTGCCACAGTAAAAAAAAAACACACCAAATGACATTGTGATAATCAACACCAAGCGATGTTGCAACAATAATAAACGTTAAATGACGTTGCTACAGTACAAATCACTGATCTTGCCGCAGTTTTATAAATGGGGCAAAAGAATAATGTGAAGGCGGTGCGCGCACACCCTCACAGATGTAAATCTTCCCCAAAATGCCACGTGGAAAACACTAAATGATATTGCCACTATATATATATATAAGTATATATATAAAAAAATTAAAAATAGCCACAGTAAAATAAATAAATAAATAATGTTACCGCAATTTTATAAGACAAAATAATAATGTGAAGGCTGTGAGCGCATCCCCTCACAGATGTAAATCCTCCCCAAAATGCTCTGTGGAAAAAGAAACACTAAGTGACACTGACACAATAAAATGACATTGGCACAATGAAGAACACCAAATGATGGTGCCACAGGTTTATAAATGAGACAGAATAATAACGTGAAGGGACAAGGTTTTAAACAAAAGCGTTTGGTGGGGCTGAATTCCCCCAGTTTGAAAGGGGGCGGTGGGAGCAACGCTCACTGTGCAGGGAAGCTTCTTTACCCCAATCAAGCCCGATGTTGACCTGGGCTGGGGTTTTGTTTGACACCAAGGTTTTTGCCTTGAGCTCTCGGTGTTTTCCAGCCGCACCTCTGCTCGGAGCCAAAGCAAACACTATTTTTAGGCAGCAGCCCCAGCCAGAGGCCTCTTTTGGTGGAAGTTAAGTGACCGCTCGCCAGGCAGCGTTGTGCCTCTGCGGGGTACTCCAGGCTCACAGCAGCACCGAAAGGTTCACATTTAGGAGGGGAAGCGCTGCCCGTGTCCTGTCACAGCCCTGGGAAGTCACGCACGGCCCCTCGGGTTCAGGCCTTTCTCCGCCAGGCTGAGTTCCCAAGCCCTTGGGTACTGCATGGGTCAGGCTCTAACATTAGGGTCCAGTAGGAAGCCAGGGACTCTATGCATTAATACATTTGGAAGCCCTTTTAAAGGCTAGTCTGAGCAATTTGAAGAAAAACAAAAACCACACGAGACAGTGCTACACTACATCCTTCTGTTAAAAATCCACATCAAAGCTGTCTTTTGTGTGAGTCCCCAAACCAAAACAAGTGTTTTGAGCAAAATTCTTGTAACTAGAAAAATCTAGGAGAAAACACGTCAGTCTTGGTGAAGCTTTTGTCTAAAAACAGAGAATTAAGGTGCTGTTACCTACACTCTTACTGTGAGAGGAAATGAAGCTATGGCCCTACATCTTCACACCTCATATCAGACTACTAGACTTTTACCAGCATTTAAATAAACTAATTTGATAGCCTCCTAAAGGCCTTTAAATGTCAGTGCTGAGCATTTCCACATCTCAGAAGCATGCGGCAGCACAGTTTTACATGTAGAACCCCATACCCTAACACCATGACCAGCTCATATATTGTGCTAAAAAACAGATCAAGATTTCTCAATAGCATATCTGTGAGCTGTTGCATGTTTGTGTTCAAATAGTTCAGTGATTTATTTTTTTTTATCTCTCTCTTTAAATTCTTACCATCTATTGTTGAGAAAGCTTGAGGAGCATGACAGAAGAAAAGCAAGGGACAGCCTGATAACTTTTCTTTTTTAAACAGAACTGCAGGGAACAGATGTCTTCTTGCTAGGGGAATTAGAAAAATGTGTTAGGGAAAAGAGTGAGAAACCGAGAAAGTAATTTTTTTTAATATTAGAGTCTTTCCTCTTTCCATAGAGGCTTGCCAGAAATGTCATTACAACATTACATATCAAGGAAGACTAGCAGGCACTGAGCTTAAGTGGTATGCATGATAGGCATTTATTTCCTTTTTTTTTTTTTAATCTATAACAAAACAGCTTAAAATAGGCATCTGGTAGTTGAAATCTTCATATTTTAAATGCAAGATTATTCCAATAAAAAGATATTTACATTTAATTTCACATTGTAGAAAAGTCGAGTGGCTACAAAAATAAGTGCTATTATGTAAACACCTACTAATCGCATGCTAAATCCTGACCGATTTTAAAGAGCTGTTAGACAAACGCTGCAGGTATTCTGATAATTCAGAATACCCAAGCTAAGTGTAAAATGAATTAGGATTCACCCACTACCGACAAGTGCACTTCGTAGCTATCATATCTTCATACTCTTTGTAGACTATGGAGCCGTCGGGCTCGATCGTTAGCACGCTCAGTGGGCTGTACTCGGCAGGAACACAAGAGGGCTTGGGAACAGATGAGTCCAATTTCTCATATATTAAGTTCTGCACCATCGTATGCACAGGAGAGCCGTAACGGTGCCCCACGACCCGCGGGCAGTCCCCTTTGCAGTACTGCGGGCTGTATCTGTGTGGTGCTATTATCCATTTGTCCCATTTTAGCTGGCTGAAACTTAGACGGAAGCTGTGGAGCTCACACTCATTTTGAGGAAACAGGAATTGTTTGAAATATTCACTCAAATTGTAAGGTGGAGTTGCTGGAGCTTCGTTCAGGGTCTCATCTCTTCGACGCCGAGAGGCCCTTTTACTTTGAGGATTCTCTCTTCTTTCGTCATCGATGATATCAGCCAGCAGACTGCTCCTTGGCCTGGGCCGCACTGGGTTTTTCCTTCTACGTCTAAGTGAGTTCCACCTGTGATAAGCTTGCTCACTGGTATCATTTAAGTAAAGGAGAAGAGAAGGGGGAACCAGAGCCATATTAATGTAACTGTCCTGTTCAGTGCCGTGTTGTGGATCACCCATCAGACAAGTGAAGTTCACAGCCATATGAATATTCCTCCTGTTAGTAGCAATTAGAGGCTGGAGAAAAGAAGTCACGTCGATCTCCACCCACTTGCGTTTCCTAACTTCAAAGTGCAGGCTAAAAGCTACAGCGTGAGAAACACTGGGACAGACTTGGCTAGAAAAATCATGCTCCTTAACAGACAAGTGGCACATGCACGTAAAGGAAGAAGTGGGAACAGATGTGTCAAATGAATAGAGCAAGACAGACTTGAGTAAGTGCTCTAGAGCAGTAACACGATCCAGGTTGAAGAGCAAATCCCCCGAGTGAAGGTCTCCTGAGAAGGGAAACAAAATTTTGCAGTTACTGTACCTCAATTTGCCATGAGGACATACATACTGAAGCTGGTTCAGATTCAGGCTACTACTTTAACTATTACTGTACTTAGGATACCTAATCATGCAATTAACTGTTAATTGACAGTGTATTTTTAAAGCAGGAGACTATACTATGCCAGGAAATTTTAGCCATAAACATTGATTTATTTTTGCTGTAGTGAATACTTTTTAACCAATTCTCAACCTCAAAGTGCTATTACTGTGTATGAGCGTGATGTTTGTGTTCTAGGTTATCTGGCTGTCCCAGTGGACGAATCCAAGTCAGGAAAACTCAGACAACTCGTCACCAGTCACGTAAGTAGAATTAGAGGCCAAGGATTGTTGCTCTGACTACACCACATTAAAAAAAAAAAAGTCAGTGACGTGCTCAGCCACCCTAGTTTTCATACCCAACCCTGCTTTACCAGGGGTTCTACTCTTCACACATTTGGTTATGATTCTTTCCTAGGAAAAGCACAAGGCAAGGAGAAAGTCATCCTGTAGCAGGGTTCTTGTGCGATAGGCATTGGAAGGGAACATAATGCCCTTCCTAGCCACTTTTTCCTTAATTTCTTATGTTGTTTAGAACTGATTATAAAATTTCCTCTAACCAGAGGAAAAATGAGCTAGGCAGAAACATCAATATGATCTTAACCACAGTACCTTTTCTGTGCCAGCTCCCAGACCGTGGGGAAGTCTTTGTCTAATGCCATTTAAAGAGAAGCACATCACAAAGAACTTGCACAGTTTTAGAGAAGAGCCATCAGAGTTAAAACAGCAACAACTCTAACAGAGTACGATATTTTTCTGCTATACTGCAAGCATAGAACATGCCAAAATAAACCCCAACCAGCTGAACGTTGGAAGCTCAGGTCAGTGCACACCTACCTGTCATTAGGTCCCTGTGGCTGTGCTTGCATTCTGAACACGGGGTGAAGAGTCGAACAGTGTTATAGAGGTGGCTTTTGTTGGCCTTGGGGATTCCCTCCTTGGTAGCAGACATCTTATAGAGCCTCTTCATGTACCTGAGGGCTCTGGAGTCTGGCTGTAGCCTCGGGGCCTCGCTTTCCCAGCTCTGGCGTCCCTGGTCAGACAGCACCTTGAGAAGGGGTGGCAGGAGGGCATATCCACGTCTCACACCTTTTGGCAGCCTCAGCAATGGGTTTAGCTCACTGGTGGCATCCTCAGGAGCTACCAATAACCCAGAGATCCTGTCAGATACTGCACTGTCCCTGGAGCGGGGGGCACACTGGATGCTAGAAGAAAGCCAGTGAATATAGCAATAGAAACAAACACAAATTCTCCAGGTACCCTCCATACTTCTTAGGGCTGCAGCCAAAAAAACACCTCCACTAAAATATTCAAGAAAAAAAGAGTCTGTGAGCGTGAGCCCTTATATATGTTGCAGCTGTGGCATGGGAGGGAGGTTTCTTTCTCATTAGAAACCCAGGGGGAAGACCTGCAGCTGGCTGCAGAACCCACATGCTTGTTTGCATTCAGGGTAGAGTCGCTGCACATGAAAGCATTTTGTAAGCAAAATCCTTACTCATGTAAACCTTTCTCGCGTGGTAAATGGCAATACAAGAGCGTTCGTTTATCAGCCTCCAGAGGGAGCCGGGGAGACAAGCTAACATTGGCCAGTCTGACTGAATGCCTGTTGTTTGCACAAATTTTGATATTTGCGAGTTAACTGTTAAGAAAATGTCAGTAATAATGCTAATTATCATCGCTAAATATACCTAAAATGTTAAATATTATTGCCATCAGCAATAATAAGATAACAAAAAAGAGTTAAACTGGTTTTCATTTGCTGTTAATGTGTTTCTCAAATTGTGCTTCTCAGTGGATGATAGCATCCACCTGAGAGAGGGGAACTGTGGCTGTGGTACCCTCAGGCTCACTCCCATTCCAGCACACATTTACCTCCAGTCTTAGCTGAGGCAAGCAAAAAAGCAGAGTGTTTTTTTCAGTCAGTACCAGCGGTCTGGAGTTGCTCCAGAACTGGAGTAACACTGGTTGCTTCAGGAGTACTGGGAGCTTCTGTTATGCAACATAACTGAAGGGATGGGGTTTCTTTTATTTAATCAGGAAAATGCATAAGAAAGTGTGTTTTCATGGCATTTGTTTTTAGAGCTATGCTATCAGTAATCTAGTGAAATGTCACCCATAATCTGACTTTCACATCTCAAGGCTTAGTTAAGGAGTACTTGTTCGGAGAATGCTTAATTAACTTAGAGAAATGTCAGTCTGGCATTCTTTGATTTGCAGTGGAAGGTGAATTCAGATAACAATCTATCCTCTGAAACAATATTGCCTTTTTGTTAGGTTCGTTTAAGCTGTTTTGATTACAATAAGAGGGGGATACTGTCACGTCTAAGGTCAGCTATGTTTAAACTGCTTTGAATAAGTTGATCAGTGGCTTTGTTCATTTTAAAAATACATCCTTGCAGCAGACAGGCTGATCTGCTCCTCCCTTCTGGATATGAATTAGCCCCACGTTAAGTTCAGACATGTATCGACAGTTTCTGCTGTTCCATGACAATTTAAGCTGCTTTCTAACATTGCTGTGCTACAAACCACGTGTGCATTCCTGCTCTCTCCTTTGCTGATTCTGATCTTATCACATCTTGTGGGCAGTCCATTCAGGGAGCTGAAATGATTGGAAAATAATCCAAGGAGAAGTGAATGTGTGCTTTATTGTGCTGAAATCCCTGGACAACCTGAGAACAGCTAAGCCTATCTTGAACAATTCAAGGCTCAGCAGGGCATGAGTGGTACTTCTGAACGCTAAAGGCGGAGCAAATCCTTCACTATTATTATGTGTGGTGGGTGCCAAAATAATCTTGCATATTTTTATATATACACTGCATTGGAAAGAGTGTTCTTGAGCATGTAGCTTTAGAAATGTTTACTTAAGTAAACCGAGAAGTTCATGAAACAGGTGAAAGGTCACAGAAATCTGTAACCGAGGATTTAAGCCTAGCCCTGACCAGAGAGATTCTGCTCTTCTGAAAAGTTCAGTGGCCTGATCATAAAACTCATCCAGATTTATTAGCTCTTTTGCTGGAAATCAAAGCAGAGAGCAAAATCAAATGCATCCAACTTGAACTGATGCCTCATTGAAGAGGCACCTTCACGGAGCACGATGACAGGGAGAAATCTAAAGGTGCTCTAAAGGGGCTTGGACAGGATTCCTGAAGTGCTACAGACCGCAGGTATGTGTGAGTGAAGGCTTCACATCCTTACACCTGTGGGCAGTTGGGCACGGTCATTGGAGGTATTGAAGGTTCTTGTTTAGTCAAACACAATGTCCAAGGAGATCAGTTTCAGGATATTTCTTTAAGATTGCTATTGTTTGTTGTTCTCGTGTTTTACATATCTGAAACATGTATTCAGTCTATTATTAGTCATTAGATTGTTGCAGCAGAAACTGTTTTTTTCCTTTTTCTTCCTTGGGAAACACTGAGTACCCAGTCTGTACTGTCGTAAACTAGCAGCAATCTTTAAATTCCTATAAAACTGAGCTGAAGAATTTGTGGCTTTACCCTGTAGCTAGATCATTACATTAGTTTCTTACCACAAGGGAGCAAAAGCATTAATCACAGGTGTAGCTGCTGTGCCCTGATAAACAAAGCGTTTTCCTTTTGGCTCACCGAGCTGATTCAGTGCACTTTGAAATACAAGAAGCATCAGGTGCTCTCTGCAGGGTTGGTTAATGATGTTGCAGAAGCTCAGCTAACTCCCCGAACAGAGGTAATGCTGAGCTGCATGTCTGCGGTACAGATGTGAGCTGCAGCAATTTCTAACAATTTAAAAGGAAGAAATGTTTCCTCTTACTTCCAATCGCTTCTTCCTGCCATAAACCAAAAAGATCAAACACTTTATTTTAATGAGCTGGTGTGTGTATATGTGCCATTGTTCAACAAAACAGAATTAGGGCTAAAAAATACGTACCACTGATGTTGTGACTATAGTATAAAACAGATTTCTTTTAATTATGGATTATAGCCTCTGCTCAAGTCTGCCCATTTTTATTTCCTAGACTAAGAACATCAGTGATTCCTTAAGCTGATGCTAGCCAGAAGTTTGGGCTCTGTTTGCCACTCTGTGCCTGCCAGTTGAGCTGTTTTTAACAGCCACGGTGGATGAGGTTTTTCCCAGTCATTATCATACTTAAAATTGTCCTACAGAGGACTCCGTTTCCTAGCTGAGAGGTCAGCCTTCCCAGGGAGCTCTGGAAAATAAGTGAAACCTACCCGAGGATGTAGGTGAAATCTATGTAAACCAAGGCTCTGATGGATAGTTTATGAATTCCTTTTTTTTTTAACACAGGCTATTTCTCCTACTAGCTCTGCAGCTTTCATGTATGCTCTTCCTGCTGCCGTCCCTTTGTGCTTTACCTTCCAGCTGCCTGAGGTGGCACGGCCGTGCTGACCGTGTGTACACCGGGGCTGTGACCTTGTGGGCGCTTTGTGAGAATTAATAAATGTTCCTGACAGGGCAATCAGTTAGCTGGTTCATTTGGTGCAGGAGTTTAGTGACTTAACAGGCAGCAGTGTGAGAAAAGTTTTTCCTCGTCCTGTTGTGAACACAAAGGATCAGCACGGAGCAGCCTGGTGGCCTCACCCAGCGGCTCAGGCTGCTGGTGGCCGTTTGGTGCCCGTGTCTTACCCCGGTCAAACCTCTTCAGTTCTGCAGCAGTGAATGTACGTGCTTGTGGAGTGCTCTCCTAGAGCTCTTCTGTGTCGAGGGTTTCGTTTACAAGTCCTTCACACCCTGTTTCTGTCATCCACGTGATGACTGGTGAGGGATGCAGATATGCGGTGCCACGATGTCACCTGCCAAGCAAATATCCCATGGAAACCCGCAGCTTTCTCCTCGTAATCAGATATTCTTTAAAAAAATAATGAGAGCTCATTGTCTGAAAAGGAACAACGGCTGCAGACAGCAGCTACCACAGTGCAAGGCTCCCCAGGGACCCCCCGTCAGAGGACACCTCCCCTTACCCCCCCTCTGTGCGGTAGGCACCCAGCCCGACCAGAGGGGTTACGGCTTGGGGGGCACAGCCTGCAGGGACTGAAAGCTCCCCTAGGAACTCCTTGTGCATGAGCCTTTGGAAAGGAGCTAGGGGGATTTGTACGCACCCTTATAACTATGACTGACCATGTGGTAGCTGAATGAAGTAGTCTTTTAATATAATGAAGTTTTTATTGAAACAAACCATCTGAAGTTAACCAACAGCTGTTAGTTTGCACACACCGGTTCTGTTCCAGGCAGGAGCTGCACGCTTATCCAGAACGTGGCTCCAAGGCTTA